CCAAGAGTTACACACCAGTCAGCATGGGGAATAAGGTAAAACAAATGATCACTTCTGCATATAGTGTTAGTGTTCTCTACTCTGACTTCTCCAGTCGAATTACAACTTTATTTGGCTAGCATGAACGCAGCTTTAATATCAATACTACCTCAGTGGGAGTTGTTGCCTAGACCAACACAGCCTGCAGCCATATACAGGTCTACTAGTTTGCAGATGCAGATCTTGGTGATACGTGCATTGTGTTTATTCTGTAACACAAGGAGAAAGATATTTCCTCTGGCGACACAGTGGGCATTTATACATACAGTATATTCACGTATGCCTCTCAACATCAGATACACTTCTCTGCTCTTGCTCTGCTCATCACAAAGAAGATTGGACGAATAGTAGACTGGTTGGTTGTTACTTTTATATTTTGACAAGCACTGCGTTAGTGAAGTCGAACATTTTATGTACTTTGAACGCAATTCGTCAAGTAATACGTAATTGGACTCATCATGGAATTGAGAAGATTGGACAAACAGTAGACTGGTTTATTGGTATTTTTACACTCCGACAAGTGCTTTGTGAGTCAAGTGGAACATTTGATGAACTAAAAGCAATTTGCCATGTAATGTATGTGTAACTGAATTACAGTATTCAATGTAAATTCATTTTTCATTTTATTTGAGTGGTCTTCCTATTATGGAGTGGATTCGGAAATGGGTTTCATTGAACTTTTTCTTGAGCTTGAAGTAATGACAGAGCTCCACGGATATGAACTTACTGGCTGACCCAGAGTCGATGAGAGCACTGACTGGAAGGGAAACATCAGATGCAGTAAGTTATTCAACAAAAGGTGAGTGAAGATGAATGAGTATTCAGATAGTAGATGAAACTCACCATGGGATGAGAAGGACATGTGTGCCAGGCCATATAGTGCTGTTGCGCTTCAGGCGTCCTGAGTTCGAGTCCCGGCTCGCAGACCTTTCCCGATCCCGACCCACTTTGCTGCCCTCTTTAGAACCTGTCACTGTCTGGTCTCCAATGTGGTTACAAGACCTCTCTCCTGTGCGCCACTTACCTGGATACCCATCTCCAATCCGTGTCTCTCCATGCATCAGTCCATTACTTTGTTACTACCCACCTCTGGTGAAGAGGGAGAGTGCAACCAAGTACATTTACTCGAGTACATTTTTTGAAAATTAGTACTTCTAAGAGTAGATATAAAGGTGGGCGCATTTACTTTAACGCCAACATCTCCAACTAAAAATCATGTTAAAAACACGTTAAGAAATGCATATTTTATTCCAAGTGGGAATTAATCACTTTTGAGTCGAATCAGCTCAAAGACTTAATCAAACGGTCTTTTTTTTGTTTTGTTTTGACAAACAGTCTCACATTTCTTGTTGAATAGAATGATAGAAAAGTTCCCATGGTTAGGCCAGATTAGATTTAGATTTAACTACTTTAGCAAACTGGGCCATTCACCCGATTGGTACAAAACCACTGAACGACTGTTTTAGGTAAAATGTCAAAATCTTTTTCAAAATCAAAAAAAGCCATCAAATCTGGGAGGTGCAATGATTTTGACAAAAAAGTCGACTCTAGATTTAAATAAGCAAATACTTAAGATTTTAGGATTTAATAATTATTGCAGTGATTAATATGTTTTTATGTGGCGACAATTATTTTAGCCCTAACTGATGCAGTGCGTTTTCACGTTCAGTATTTAAATCTTGACTTTTTTTTGGCCAGGCAGTGTATAAATGGCATATTAATAATTATCAACCCGAATTATATGTTTGCATTAAAAATTATGCACTTATGTAAGGGCTCACTCTGACAACACGCAGAAAAAGATAGCAGAGCTTGTTCAGTTGGTGCTGCTGTAATACCACAAAGCATGAAATTAGCTTTATCCAATTGGTGGGTTTGGTTTGTTCCCATAATTGCTGCATGGTCCTGTAACATTTATTTGTTTTGTTGCTTGTTCCTGTAAAAATGTTATTGTTTGAATATGATGGAGCCTATATATGGATCTACATCTAGTTTGCATTTTTGTGAAATATACTGTATGGGTGTGCATGCAGCCCCCAAGAGTTAAATCATCAATTTTTATATATACAGTGGGTACGGAAAGTCTTCAGACCCCTTTAAATTTTTCACTCTTTGTTATATTGCAGCCATTTGCTAAAATCACTTAAGTTCATTTTTTTCCTCATTAATGTACACACAGCACCCCATATTGACAGAAAAACACAGCATTGTTGACATTTTTGCAGATTTATTAAAAAAGAAAAACTGAAATATCACATGGTCCTAAGTATTCAGACCCTTTGCTGTGACACTCATATATTTAACTCAGGTGCTGTCCATTTCTTCTGATCATCCTTGAGATGGTTCTACACCTTCATTTGAGTCCAGCTGTGTTTGATTATACTGATTGGACTTGATTAGGAAAGCCACACACCTGTCTATATAAGACCTTACAGCTCACAGTGCATGTCAGAGCAAATGAGAATCATGAGGTCAAAGGAACTGCCTGAAGAGCTCAAAGACAGAATTGTGGCAAGGCACAGATCTGGCCAAGGTTACAAAAAAAATTCTGCTGCACTTAAGGTTCCCAAGAGCACAGTGGCCTCCATTCCTTAAATGGAAGACGTTTGGGGTGACCAGAACCCTTCCTAGAGCTGGCTGTCCGGCTAAACTGAGCTATTGGGGGAGAAGAGCCTTGGAGCCTTGATTAAAGAAGAACCCAAAGATCACTGTGGCTGAGCTCCAGAGATGCAGTCGGGAGATGGGAGAAAGTTGTAGAGTTGTAGAGCAGCCCTCCACCAGTCAGGGCTTTATGGCAGAGTGGCCCGACGGAAGCCTCTCCTCAGTGCAAGACACATGAAAGCCCGCATGGAGGACTCCAAGATGGGGAGAAATAAGATTCTCTGGTCTGATGAGAACTTTTTGGCATTAATTCTAAGCGGTATGTGTGGAGAAAACCAGGCACTGCTCATCACCTGTCCAATACAGTCCCAAAAGTGAAGCATGGGGGTGGCAGCATCATGCTGTGGGGGTATTTTTCAGCTGCAGGGACAGGACGACTGGTTGCAATCGAGGGAAAGATGAATGCGGCCAAGTACAGGGATATCCTGGACGAAAACCTTCTCCAGAGTGCTCAGGACCTCAGACTGGGCCGAAGGTTTACCTTCCAACAAGACAATGACCCTAAGCACACAGCTAAAATAACGAAGGAGTGGCTTCACAACAACTCTGTGACTGTTCTTGAATGGCCCAGCCAGAGCCCTGACTTAAACCCAATTGAGCATCTCTGGAGAGACCTAAAAATGGCTGTCCACCAACGTTTACCATCCAACCTGACAGAACTGGAGAGGATCTGCAAGGAGGAATGGCAGAGGATCCCCAAATCCAGGTGTGAAAAACTTGTTGCATCTTTCCCAAAAAGACTCATGACTGTAT